GAACTTAAAGTCCCAATCTTTAAATAGCAACATTGCATTTGTGATGAGTCGCTATTTTTTTCACCAAAACCCAGTTTGATGTAGAAATATAGTCGGCTTTCAAATTTGTGAAAATTAAATCCTCTCATTCAAGCTATAATTATCTTGTGCTGTTATATCTTCTTTTTTTTATAGCCAGCTGTTGACTGTTGCGTATATGCATCCCTTATAGGATTTTTTGGTAAAAAAAAATCTCACGAAAAAAATAAAAATGCTTTAGACAAATAAATGTTTGAGGTAATATCAACTTATCTGCATTTATCTGGGGTCAATTCCATAATAATAACGTTGCTTTCTTCTTTCACAGCCTGTGATCGCTAGTCGGTTTTTGTTCGGAGATAAAAGAGAACTTCAACAAAGGGAATTTTAACTTAGCTAGTTTATTAATCACGTCGACATATACATCTTCTAACTAGCCAGTGGGGTTGGCCTCCTACCCCACTGGGAAGCCACTTACAGGCACGAACGGAAAACACGTCTACATTGTATAACTGTTTAGACTCAACTCCCCGAAAAACCTCTATCTACCATTCCCACGCTAATTGATTTCCTTTATTTTGTCTTGCATCTGACCTCAAAGGTCAAAATGAGTAAGTCAGAGCAGAAATACGCTTCTCTAAAAAATAATAGTTTGTTAAACTATTATTTAACAACAGATGACGCGAGTCAAGTTTAAAAGATACGATAAAATTTTATTCTTAACAACGCACAAAAAATACACAAATTTAGTGTTTGTTAAAGATGGCCAATAACAGGCAAATTAACAATTGAAATTAACATACCTTTCTTCAATTAAAATTATATTACTGCATAAGAAGGTCCTCCGAAGAGAAAACTAGATTAAGTAAAGAAAAAGAATATTTTTCAAAGATAAACTTGGTACACATTTTTGTATGAAGAAAGTTCATGGTTTCTTTCTATTGAGGTAACAGCGAAGATTTAGTTAGATTAACCACAGTAGCCGAAAAATTTTCTTTGCGTTGGGATCGACCAGGTTGTTTCAATTTTCGTCAGCGTCGTAGTGTAAATTCTTCTGCATTGTTTTCCTTCTGGGCCAGGGTGACCTGAATTCCTGTATTAGTTTGATGTCGATTCTCTAATAGGAATTTCAAGCCCCCTCCTTATATAGCAAACAAACAGGCTACAAATATACTGGCTTTCCGAGTCTCAAATTTTGAAAGAAACCCTTTCATTGGTTCGAACGTAAAACAAATGCTGCGGATTTTTAATATGAAAAAACATGGACGACTGAATTTCCTTCAATATCATCTTGGAAATTCAGATACTGAAGGAAAATCAATGGTCCAGATATTTTTTATATTAAATTCCGATCGTCCTAATTCAAAACAATAATAAAACCAATAATAAAGAAAGCATGGTTTCATGCCTGTTAAATAAATCATTTGTATTTATAAACATATGCACATGAATTCAAGAGTCAAAAAGGAGTAAAATAGTCTTTAGTTGAGTTAGTCTTTTGGTAGTTGGTACACAGAAAACCTGTGGTTTAGAAAAGGCTTTTAGTAGCTGGTCCACAGTAAAAATCAGTGGTTGAGAAAATACTTTGATCGTCAGCAAAGATTCACTGACCGTCTCTGCTGTTGATTCTTTTGAATGTGTCGATACATATTGCTTTTGGTACGCGTTGATGGTGGAGGAAAAGCTATGTAGTCACGTCTTCTCTTGTGTTTGAACGACGTAGGGGTAGTTGCATCTCTGCTTCTGAAAGTCGAAATTTGTGGGATTTTATAGGATATTTTTTCCGAAAGTAGGCTAGAGAAAAATAGGGCTTTAGTTGTCTCTGTTTGGTAAAATATTTCACACTGTGATGTTAATTTCTAACCAATAGACAATTTGATTTAAACGGTGTGTGGAATCTTTTTGGCCTATTTGTAAATATTGTTTGTTAATAGGTAGAAAATAAAGTTTAGTCGTGTTTTAATATGGTATGTATGTAGGCATGTAATTGTGTTTGAAAGATAGTCTGTTTCCTATGACATAAAAATTTACGTGAAAAATTACAATTTTATGCCCCTTATCACTATCTAAAAGAGAAGACTTTAATAATCAATAAGGTGTCCTTTTATCAATATGCCTTGATTTCTACCTGCTTTTCGTCGCTAAAAATTCGAATTTTCTGGAAAAAGGAATTGAGAAGGAAAATTCTTCTTTTGGATTTTCCCACCGATCAGAGGCAAGGAATTCAAACCCAGGATAATTTGAAATGGTAACGGATTGATCATGGGGATCCAATTATAAACAAATCCCTGTCAGGTGAGGATTAATATTCATTCACGCGCCGTCGAGAAAAAATACACCTTGAGAAAATGAGAACGAATAAACTTTACCAATTTCCTCATAAAACAGATACTGACAAAATGTAGTAATTTTAATTCAATCCACTTAAAATACTACCAAATAAAAAACTTAAAAGAACATTTTTTCAAAATACTGATTCATTTTACATATTCCAGTTTCTAAAAAACATTAACTGATTTCAAAAATATACCGTAATTCCCCATGTATAATATGCATTTTTTCTAAATAGTAATAAGCAAAATTCCGGGCGTGTATTATGCACAGCTACAAAAAATCTTTAAAAAAAATGCCGTTTTGTAGGTCGATTTCATTTGTGAAATGACTACTCACCACAAACATATGACAATCTGACACTAACATTCGGCGATTGTGACCCCATAAGGATGTCAAATACAATCATATGTACCTAACAATACTTACAAATGTAAAATAAAATAAGAATTATTATAAAACTAAATTAAAATAATATTGTTCTATGTTCAAAACCATTTTAATAAGAGTAGGAAACGCTGGCCGTAATGAAATTGGAGGGGTACAATTTATAGGGTTTGATTACCAAACAACGGGTGCGTATTATGGGTGAGTAGAAAACTTTCCCCACACTTTCAGCACAGTTTTAGGGGGGCGTATTAAGGATGAAGGCGTATTATACATGAGGAATTACAGTAATTAAAAGAAAAAAATATGATCATAACTAACAGCGGTCTTACTTTGTAAAATAATTTTTTGACTGTTTAAATACAAGATTTTATTTAGAAAAAAAATTAAATTTCGGCATAAAATGACCCAATGGATAGATATGCCGTAAAACAAAACAAACCAATTTCTTCTGAAACCAACTGTCAAGAGACGCAGAACAAACTTTCTTCGCTTCGTTGCTACAAAAACAAATATTTCGACATTCTTCACCCACCACATTCTTTACGACTGCTCCGTTTGAACGGCTTATTTTTGTCTTTTATGCGCCGTGTCCCTTCAGGACGTAGGCGATCATGGCCCTCCACATCTTCCTGGCCTTTGTATCTCTTAATTAATAAGTTTTGTCTTTTTGTTGTTTCTCGCAAACCTTGTCCTACCATCCATTTGCTCAAGCTCATCAAGTATGTTACATGCTGCTTTCCTCTGCTCCTCCTTCCCTCAATCTGTCCTGTGAGTATTAGGTTTTCCAAGCCGTCTTTCCTCATTACGTGCACCAGAAATTTCAACCGTCTCTTCCAGGTGTTAAGTATAAGTTTCCTTTTCGTTTCCATTTTCTCCAAAACTTCGTTGTTGCTCACATGTTCTGTCCAGTATCTTTCTGTAGAACCACATTTCTTTTGCCTCAAGTCTCTTCTTCATCTTTGAGCATTCCAGCATTCACTGCCATACAGGAGGACAGATATCAGGTCTAAATTTGACAACACTATGCCACTTTAAGGACATTTTTTATTTTATCAATCATAAGTTTAAATTTTTTCTTTACCCAGCTTAATTTTCATTCTTCTTCTTCTTCTTCTTCTTCTTCTTCTTCTTCTTCTTCTTCTTCTTTGTATCGTGTACCTTCATTACATAGGTGATCAAGCCTCTCCACAATTTCCTGTCCTCTGTAGCTCTTAATAAATTTTATCATTTTGTTATCACTCCTAAACCTTTTTCCACTATCTATTTACTCAAGCTCGCTAGGTAGATTATGCGTTGTTTCTCTCTGTGTCATCAGTCTGTCCTGGGAGTATCAGATTTTCCATGCCCTCTTTCTTCGCTATGCGCCCTAGAAATTTCAATTCTCTCTCTTCGTGGTGTTAAGTATAAGTGTCCTTTTTGTTTCCATTTTCTTTAAAACTTCATGGTTGCTCACGTATTTGGTGTATGGTATTCTCAGAATCCGTCTATAGAATCACATTTCTTCTTCATTTGGAGATTGGCGGAACAAGCTTTTGGAGAAATAACAAAAATACAAAATTTATTTAAAGCTACAAAGAACAGGAAATCGCGGAGAGTCATGATCGCCTACGTCCTGAGGGTACATGGCACATAAAGAAGTAGTCGTAATAGGATGTACAGTGTGGTGTAATGAATGTGAAATCAGAGCTGCGTTCGAATTCCAGTCGGGTTCGTTAGATTCACTTGGGAAAGGTATGAATCCATCTCTTCTCTACCACCAATGAAACATTATTAGTATTATTTTTTATTAGTATCTCCTACTGTTTTTAAGTCTAGTTTTAATAATAAAGTTGAAGGGTCGAAATTTTGTCCTTGTAAAAATATTCAACTCGTCCACAAAGAAAATGGAAGGAAAGAAAAAAAGAAAATAAAGTGTAAATTCAAAATTCTTATATTCCAGAAATTGTGGTGATTTACAAAAATTGCTTTTTTTTTTTTTTTTTTTAATCTAGTTTTTCTTTTGAAGACAATTTTTGCACAATAGGAAATTTGACAGGAAGATTTCTTACTCTCATCGACTTGGACTTTTACATCCGGCAGTTGCCCAGACTGCCAACCAGACTCCCATTTATAATTTTAACCTGTTCAAGTCTAGGGTTAACCTTTATCTTTCTCACATATCACCTAAACTCTGCTTTTTAATCTGTAACCCTGTATCTCGAGTGACTCTTGGGTTTTATACATCATTTTAAAAAAAAAAAAAAAAAAAAAATCAAACAAACCTTCATTCATTTTTTTAGGCGGCCGATGGATGCCGTCGGACGCCGCTGGGAGCCGACGGGCGCCGCCGGGAGCCGACGGACGCCGCCGGGAGCCGACGGACGCCGCCGGGAGCCGACGGACGCCGCCGGGAGCCGACGGACGCCGCCGGGCACCGACGGACGCCGCCGGGCGCCGACGGATGCTGTCACGCATAGACAATCATTAATTGATGTTTGTAGATATTTGTTAAGCAGTGGGTTTAATTTTGTTATGCTTGGTGAATTTACCACAGTCTATTTAGAAAATGAATTTGGAAAAGTAAGACAAAGTTCTAAACGTGTATATTTTATAACAGTTCAAAATGTTAGTGGAAATTTTTCATATTGAAAAACTAAACTACTTAAATTAAGTGTTTGATGTCAAAAAATTCAACTTTGATCTAAGCCATAATTTCTCAAAATGTGGACATATACTGGATGAAATGGGATGCCAAACATTTGATAACTTACCAGACCTTGAAACCAGGATCCCTATGTCACTTTTGTATACAGCAGACTATGTTTCAAGAAAAGATTGTCCCACAAAAGAGGAAATATTTAATAATACTAGTTTTTATTTTCAAGAATATGGACATTTTTTGAAAGAAATAGATTGTGATAATTTAAAAAATTGCACTGGATACCACATTTCAGTGAGCGTTTTTCTGTTTTATAATATTTGGTGTTGTTAAATTGAAGACTTGCAGAAATTCTTTGACAAAAATCTTTGTTAGTTTGATATATATATCAGTATGAAAAGAGAGCAAATATATATTCAAAAAATTATTGTTTGTTTGATTCACCTAAGACAACTCAAGAACCAGAAGTTTTGAAATTATCTTAAAATGTTATTTATAAGATAAAAATGTTTATACAGTTCTCTTTAAGACTACATTAGCAATATTGAAAATTCATATTTTTCAAGTAGCAAAAATATTTTCATGAAGCTGCATTAAAAAGACATTATCCATTCAAAGAAATACTTACCAGATATTTTTTTAATTTAAATTTACCCCTTTTTAGATATATTTAATTTCCCGCTTTTTTAGATATATTTAATTTCCCACCTTTTTAGATATATTTAATTTCCCGCCTTTTTAGATATATTTAATTCGTTAAGTCCCCAAATTACCCTGTTAATTAGTTTTGTGTTCTTGTTAATGTAAATTGATTTTAATTATTAAAACTATGTGTACTGGCAATATCTATTATTTGTATCCTAGTGAAAGAAATATTTTCTCCATCTTCTGTGAAACAAATTGCACATGTAACAAAAATCACAATAAATTTTGCAAAATTACCAAAATTATTGTTTTTCTGAAATTCACATTTTTGTAAAGTATTTTCAGGCTTTGTTGATACATGATTTTATAAAATGTTAAAATTGCTTTTATATTGTATTATACAATTATATTTTCTGTAATCAATTGGTATAAACAAATTAACTCGTTATTTTTGCAATATCATCTAAAATGCATTTATCGAAATAAGTCAGTAATTATAAGATGCTTCCAGATATGATGCATAGTTGCTAATTAGCTAATTACTGGGTATTACTGACAAGTTCATTGCTAAAAATGTTCTCAGTAATTGTCATTTAGTAGTAATTTAGGCCTCCACATGTCTGCCCACAGTCGTAGGCCTCAGTTGCATGGTTGCCAGGCCTGGGTTAAGTAAATCGCAGCTGTTCTTTCTTATTATACCAAATTATTCCCAAAATCTTTCAAGTGTTTTTAATTAACGAATGTCATTCCATTATTATTTACAAAGGCTTCTGTAATTTGAGAAGCTATAAGCAACTTTTACGAAGACTATTATTACAACTTTATGAATTTATAAATGCTTAATAATTTAATTAGATTGCATGAAAATACTATCATTATGGTTGTTTGAAATGACCTCGATTGACGCCATTTAAGCAGACTAGATAATCATTACATTGCGACAAGTAGTATTACCCCACTACACTGACCCCGTTTTATATGTCTCTAAAAATAAATAAGTAAACGAAATAAAATGTAAAGTTCATTGTTTAGTTATTAGTAATTTTTAGTTAATCTTTTGTTTTATCATTGCTACCTTTTATCATAGCACTCAGATCGTTTTACATTCTACGACCAATAAATAGGGAGCATGGTTCGATAATAAATACTTGAACCAGCATCCAATATCCGATTTGGTCACGGAGACCAGGTAGGAGGCAATGTTAAAATTTAACCATATAGCCACATACTTTCTCATCAGGAATTTCTTTATGCTATATTGTTTGTTTACACCTAGTAGAAGTAAAACTACTAAATTTAAGTTATCCAACTATTTTAAACAAAACATATGCAAGTGAAAATTTGAAAATTCGAACAATTTAGCAATATTATATTATCGTGTTTGTGAAGAAAAAAAATTAAGAATCTGTATAAATTAAAATTAGTGAAAGGTGAACAGATTAAAAAGATTCAAATTATAGAGGACACATTAAAATGAATTCTATTATTCAGTTTCAGACAAAATAATGTGTTTTTATTGGAAATCTAAATAAATAAACGGTAAATTCTGTCTGTCTGTCTGTCTGTCTGTCTGTCTGTGTATCTGAAACTCCTCTAACTCGGGCAACACTTGCTCTACATAGACATATTATAGTTTCTGGGAATCAGGATGATCCCAGGATTGAAAATCTGCCCTTCATCTGATACTTGAACATCCAAGAATTGGGATTTGTATCCGGATGAGGAGAGAACAATTAGAAATTCAAATTTTAATTTAACTGAAAAAAAGAATTGCTGAAGATAATAAAAGACAAGAGGGCGTGGAGAGCCATGATCCCTGATGCGTTGAAGAGACACTTCCCGCAGAAGATGATCATGACTTACCAATTTAACATCCACAGGACAAGAGAATCAGTCGAAAACAGAATAACCTACTTGACAAATGACAGGGAGAAAAGTATTTCAAAAGAAAAGAGGTGTCATAAGGAAAAAGAAAGTATTGCTGAAAACAATAAAAACAAGAAGCTATGGAGAGCCATGATCACACAGGTCCATGACTTACGGCTGAAGTAATTTCATATATCTCATAGGTACCAGTGTTCGATTGATTTGTTTTTACGGCTTATCAACCCTTTTTGAGGTTATTTAAAGCTGAAACATATTTTTGATTTTTAACATGCCACAACAATAATAATGATATTGTGATACAAGTCGTACTATTTAATCCATAGCTGTGAGCATAAGATGTAGATTCATGCCTTTCCCGGCAGATAAGTGAATATTACGAACCCGACTGTAATTCGAACTTGGCTCTCCGATTTCACATTCCGAGGCTTTATCTATCATAACATACGTCTACCACTTCGTCCCCAGCCCCTCAACCTCCAGCGTCTTCCTCTTTGGGTTGAGGTGTCGATTCGGTCCGAACCGAACTTAGGCGTAACTGGCCGTACGCTCCCTGAGTACCCGTAGATTATTTCGACCGGTCAACTGGTCAAGTCCCGCTTGCTGCCCACGCTGTGTTAGTTTTTAGATCCAGTAAGCGGGGTGTTGTCCATACATTCACGGTCGACTGGGGATGTAGACACGGCTGTGAGAGTTGGCGGTAGGAAGTTTAGAATGTGGCAAAATAAAACAAGAAATAATATCTGCAGAAGCCAGACAACAATGGGGGAAATATTGACGTCTTTTATATAAGAAGATAACATCAGAACAGAGTTTACGGGGAGAATAAAAACATTTAACATAAATGAGAAAAGAAAAAGAAAAAAGACACAATGCATCCAGCGAATTCCCAACAGAGAGAGGGTTTGTGTGTGATAAACGCGTATTGAAACGCCTGGAGTAGGTTTATGACTAGTAGTCCAGTCTCATACAGACTTCTCAGAACAGGGAGCAGTCTTCCTTCTCTAATTCTCCCGTAAATCTCTCGTGGCTCTCTCGACGACGGTCTCGCTCTCCGGGTCTCTCTCCCGTCTTTTTGTATCACCGCAACCCGTAATGGTCGCCTGCGGGTGCTCACGCACGTGATGACGATGTGCCGACCGATCTCTCTCTCCCGTCTGGCCTCTTCCGTCTCGCTCGACCGTCTGCCTCTTCCGTCTAACTATGCGTTTATATAGATCATTTGTTTTATCGACCCTTGGTCCGGCACGAAATTATCATGACTGCCGTTTCCAACCCAAAGTTATCTGAGTTTCAAAGTTCTGATAGCCCGAGTAAGCTCTATTTCAATTTTTAACCGATAAAATTTATTTAAATCATTTCCATTGTTTTTTCAACGACTCATTCTCGAGTGGTCACCCATCTAGGTACAGACCAGGTTCAACGTTGCTTAACTTCGGTGATCGACGAGAACTGGTGTTGCAATGTCATATGGCCGTAAGCCTGGTATTCGAGTACAGGTAAAAATCTAGGATTACAAATACCGATTTTCAAGGCAGACATTCCTTTCCCACCTGAAAGAATAATGTAAGGTGATCTTTCGATTTGTATATAACTTTTTACTGTACTAATGATTCCTGGATCCAGGGCTTATGAGACGTTCTTGAAACTAATTACAAGAGGTGACCTGATTCTGAGTCAGTGGCTGTTCAATTAGCAGATCAAGCTATATCAATTAATAAATTAATCAAGAAGGAGAATTAATGAAAATGACTTTAGTATGAAAAAAATATCTGAGCATTAGCATTTGCAATGTCGACCAGATTTAAAACCACTTGACCTGTTGTAAAACAGAAAAAAAAACTTAGCACAGTTTTGACACAAACGAACAACTAATGGTAGATGTAACAGCGCTATTATACTTTTTGTGCGCTCCATGAAAACACTCCATCAGAAACATATATTTACTTCTCATACATTAAAATTTTCATTATGACATTTAAATTGAATATCTAGAAAATATTGTTTGTGTATAAAAGATGATACAGGAACCAGACAAAGTTTGGAGAATATGACAAATGGAAAACCGTTTCATTGAAATTAGATTTGATTACGCGTTTCGCCTTTCAAGGGTTCAGAGGATCCCAAAAAGTGTGTGTGTGTGTGTGTGTGTGTGTGTGCGTGCTTACATAATGAATCACACTACTTTTTTTCCTTTAAGCTGGCGTTTCTTGTGATTAAAGACGAAAGAAAATGAGTGACTTTTGAAAAAGCCGTTAATTCTGTAGCTTTTCTTTATAATTTTAGTTCATGTCAAAAGTTATATATGTATATATCGCGCATTTTTTCGTATCGAAGGTAAATTCTCATCTTATTGAACGTCTAGAAACTACTGTTTCTGTATAAAAGATGATACAGAATCCAGACAATGTTGGGAGATTATGACAAATGGAAAACAGTTTCATTTTAATTAGATTTGATTACGCGTTTCGCCTTTCAAGGGTTCAGAGGATCCCAAAAAGTGTGTGTGTGTGTGTGTGTGTGTGTGTGTGTGTGTGTGTGTGTGTGTGTGTGTGTGTGTGTGTGTGTGTGTGCATGCTTATATAATGAATCACACTACTTTTTTTTCCTTTAAGCTGGCATTTCTCGTGTTTAATGAAGAAAGAAAATGAGAGATTTTAAAAAAATCCGTTAATATTTATTTTGTAACTTTTCTTATAATTCTTACTTCATGTCAAAAGTTGTTTATATATATTTTCGCAGTTTTTCGTATTGAATTGAAGGTAAATCCTCATCTCATTGAACGTCTAGAAACTATTGTTTATTAAGAAATGGACAAAGTCCGACAATTTATTTATTAAAGACATTTGTCCATTTCTTAATATATGACGTCATTTGTTTACATTTGATACGCCAGAGCAGTTATGAATGTACGAGATTCATGGAAGATTGAAGTTTATAAGCAGTAAATTCGACCTTGCCTTTGTGGCCGAGACGGTTAAGGCACGTCAGCGTAAATGACGAATCCTGTCAAAGGACGAATATTTTCTATGAAAATTTCTCGGACATTCAGGCTGATAAATGTTATTTAATACTGTTTATTATAAACAGAACATTTACTTAAATACTTGTATCTATAAAAAAGAACGTTAAGCATAAAAATGTCTTTAATAAATAAACTATTGTTTGTGTATAAAAGATGATACGGGATCTAGACAAAGTTTAAAGAAGAGAACAAATAGAAAAACGATTCATTGAAATTAAATTACGTGTTTCGCCCTATATTAGGCTTCATCAGATCAAAAACGAAAGAAAGAATTATGTGTGTATTTTCTATCAAGAAAATAAACATCTGAAAAGGTTTTTTTCAATTTAACACAAATGTAAGGAACAGAGTAAATTGATGAAATTAGGTTTTTGATGACATTTTTTTAAAATCTTATTTTTTTATTCGTTTTTTTTTTTTATCGATTTCGCCCCAAGCAAGGCAGTAAAGCCACTAAGAAAAAAGGGGTTACTGAGTGTGGAAGAATTAGGAACAGAAATATTACTAATGAGTAGGAAAGAAAAGAGTAATCAGGAGGACAGTAGATAGTGATTGACATTGCATTTAAATTTTTGGAGATTAAATTTGCCTGGAAAGCATGGAGCTGGAAGGGAGTTCCACAAGCGAGAAGTGCGAGAAAAGAAACTGTTAGCATAGAATTTACGGCTACATCTAGCCAGCTCAAGTGTAAATTGATGAGATCTCGATGCCAATCTAGTAATGCGCTTAAATTTAAAAAGTCTAGGGAACATAGCGAAGAGCTCATTAGAACATATTAATGAAAGTATTTATAGAAAAGACACAGGGAGGCAATCTTACAGCGGTGAAAAATGACTGAAGCCGAACCATCAGATCAGGATCTATAATATTGCTGATTTTTCTTTGGATTTTATCAAGGAGATCAAGATAAATAGCAGAGGCACCGGACCATATGTGGCAGCAATATTTTAAGTATAGATGAATGGTAGACATAGATATTGGAGAGAAAAATTATCTCGCACGACACAGTGATCTAACTTTCTTAGCTGACATGAAGTGGAAATACGATATTGAATCCATTGCTAGGTCAGCTGCTGAAAACATTAGCCCAAGAAGTCGCAACGAATCACTTTTCTGGAGGTTAGCATCAGTCAAGGGTCTCTCAGACGATTAATGGAGAGAAGTTTATCATCAAACAAATTAATTAATAGTTAAAAGAATAAAATGTAAAAGAAACCGTCGAACACATAGATTAAGACCGGCGAAGGTTTTTAGTGGATCCTTAATCGAAAGTCTTATTTATGGCGAATATCAATGACGCTTTCGTTTCGGGGGAAAAGGTAGTGGGATTTTAGGTTTTCTCTGGCCGAGGCAAGTTTAGTGATTAGCTACTTCAATAATTAAATGCATAAGTTTTCTTGCGGGAACAGTTTGTAGCACATGAAATAATAGTGGTGTAAAGAGTACAGGCACAAATAACAGACCAATTGATTTGCAATGCAAAGATAACATTTATTAAAACAAAATTAACAAAAATAAAGATTACAAGTGTTTCTTTAGTTAGATGTAAATTGTATACACAATGAAATGTTCATTAATATGTTATAATGGGTACTTTGTTAGTGTGTTTTATGTGAAGCATTCGCAGCCCTTGTAGCTTCAACGTGGAAATTTCATTTCTGGATATTATTATTTTTTCAATCAAGAAAATCAACATAAAGATATTTTCAATTTAATACAAATGGAAGAAGAAACAATAATATTAAACAGAATCTAAGTCCATGGCGATTTGATGCTAAAATTAATTAGATTTTGAGTATTTCATTGTTTGATTCAACATAAACTCAGCAAAGTATTCATCCATTAAATCATGTATTTAATTTTCTCCGTGTAAACAAAGATTTTAGATCCAGTTGCTTATGGAAGTATGTGTTGCGAAGGCGGGAATGGGTAACCTAAGACAGAAACCTCGCTGTTGTTATTGTTCTGGAGGGTAATTCCTTCTCCGTCTCGGCAAACATAAATACAAGCGTCAAAAAAGAAGACATTGAGTATGGCTAAATAAATGTATAATTTTTATTTACATATATACAAACCTAGTAATTTCTATCCGCTGCTGCTAAGGCAACAGGAAGAAAGAGTGGTGAAATTAGACGTAAAATGGGCATTCGTATTGGCTGTTGTCGGCGGTGGCGTTTCTCTCTCAGCGCGTCGGTGTTGACATCAAACACTGATCTGTGTCGCGTTTTTCTCAGCGTGCCGGTGTTGACATCTGTTTGACTGTTTCGGATTTGTTTGAGTTTGAATGTATATATAGCCGGCAATCGGTTCCAAATTAACGTTTTGGTTTTTAAGCGGGAGTGGCTCTGACTGGTCATAATATATTGCTCATTTTGTTTTGGTTAAAGCAGATGTATGCGTGGAGCCGATGCGCAGAAAACGTATTTACGCAGTCTGCTTTGGGTCGTCAAATGCTCAACATCCAGTTTGTGTAGAAAATGTAGGAGGCACGACATAGGAGAATAATAAAGCATAATATCACTGAATAAACTAACTCTCTAGTCATGACCTCCAAACTCTTAAGTTTAGTTTAGCACAAGGCACTAGTATGGGGACCAAATACTAATTAGTTGTAATGGTAATCCAGATTAGCTCGCTAAGCATTAAATTAGACTTGCATTTTTTTCGAATAATAGAGAAACAAGCCATCAAACAAAAGGTATATGTAGAATGAATGTAAGGACCAATCTATTTTATTATGGCAAAATGACAACTTAAAGCGATAAACAATAATTCATCTAAAGTGGCCTTTGCATCGGTATTTTTAGAATTAGCTCCACTTCTTTGTAAGTAAGTGTATGTGCTTTTCTATCCACGAAAAAAGGACACAAAAGCCACATATTCAAAGATAGCTACACAAAATATATTTCCCTTGCTTCTCTAATTCACAGTCTGTAAACAAATCAGCCATGACACAGTAAAGAAAGTAACCAAGCAAAATTATTGAAGCACCTCAGAAAAGAAAGGAACCCAAAAACTGGATTATGACAAAAATCAACCAAGAAATAGTGTCAAAACAGTTACTGATGATGTGCTCACAGAATAAAAGGTCACACAGAAACCTAAAAATGTTAGTCGATCAGCGAGCAGCACTAATTGTCTCAGGGTGCGGATCTGAATTTTGCGATGAGATGATTATCTCCTTTATGCTGGGTTGCACTCATGCTAGTAATAGACTAATGTAGCAACTTTTCGAGAGGTGATTAAAACTAATTACTACTATGTGTACAAATAAATATATCTTCATTCCATTTTGCATGCGTTTATTTGTTATTACCAACCTCCTTCTTCGGGTATTAGCAGCAGCCGTCAACCGTCGTTAAGTGAGACCAAAATGCATATCATCCGTATGTAGGCAGAACCAACCTTTCCAGACCACTGCAACTAATACTATATATTACTAAAATATCACAAAG